TTTGTAGACTATTTGAGCCCTTATGCCCAGCAAGCTACTATGGTAAATGTTTTATATTTATTATCTCTTTTTTTTTTTTTTTTTGGTCTTTTTCCTTTTTATTGGTACTGGGGATCAAACTCATGACTGCCTGCTTGCAAGGCAGATGCTTAATGCCGCTGAGCTAAATCCCCAGCCCCATATATTTATTATCTCAAATCTAGGAGATAATCCAGAAAGCCATCTAGGAGATGTATTTTTCTTCTTTTCCTTCTTAATGAATCAGGGGACTGAGGCATAATAAGTAACCTGTCCATGGTCACACATCTTATTAGTGATGGAGCCAGGATTTGATCTCAAGTATATGGACTTCAAAACCACACTTTCACTATGCCCATGTATCATGGATTCAAGCTGTCCTGCTGACCACCTCTACCAAGAAGCTTTCTCTAAAAATCTGGAGAAGTGGCAATTCTACTCAACCTTTAATGAACATCTTTTCTTCCATCTATATCTTGTACACTTACCTGCTAAAGAGCCTCTTATGGCTGGACATGATGGTGCATGCCTGTAATCTCAGCACTCAGGAGAGTGAGACAAGAGGATCACCACATGTTTTATGCCATCCTGGGCTACATAGTGAGTTCAAGGCCAGCTTGCACTACATAGCAACACCCTGTCTCAAAAACAAAAACCCAGAAGCCTCGCCTGTATATTATCTATTATAGTGTCTATTTGATCATAAATCACACCAAAGATGTTTTTGGTTTTTGATATTGATATATTCATAATGACTAAATTCTAAGGAACTCTGTCAGAGACTAAAAGGGTAACCTCTTTGTGTTGAGATACAAGAATGCAAGGCAGATGCCAAGTAGTCTCCATTTCAGAAGGTTAAGGCCTACATTGCTCTCCTCCAGTTTTCTGGCCTATACCAATGTCATTGGTGCCCGAACAGCATTTTACCTTATAAGGACTTGGGTGTCAGGTGCCACTACACCAGTGTGAATATCAGCTGTCTGAAAACAAGGAACATGACTGAAGAGCACAGAATTGTAAGTGTAAGAATACAGCTTTTAAAGTGAGCATGGTAGTGCCTGCCTGTAGTCCTAGCACTCAGGAGCCTGAGACAGGAGGATGACTGTAAATTTGAGGCTAGTCTGAACTGCATGGACCCTGTAACAAACAAACAATATAACTGCTAGCTTATTAGTTGTACAGGTGACACTGGAAGGACTACAAATTGAAAGGCAAAATTAACATAAGATTTAATCAGATCACTGGTAGTAAGAAATGTGTGGTAGTTAGAAAGAGCTTCAACACCACTTGTGCCTGAAAGGGATGTGGAACCTTCACGGCCCACACAATCTCCATAGATAACAGTATCTTCTTTTTTTTTCTTTCTTTCTTTCTTTTTTTTTTTTTTTTTTGTCTTTTTCATTTTTTTATCAGTACCAGAGATTGAACTCACAACCGCCTGCTTGCAAGGCAGGCGCATATGCCGCTGAGCTAAATCCCCAGCCCCTAATTTTTTCTTTCATACTTGAAACACTTTTGAGAGTATTTCATTCCTTCTAAAAAATAATGTCCTTGTGCAGAAAGGAGAGAGCCATAACATTATTTGTTTCCTTGAAGTCCAGTTTAGAATTAGGGAGGAGGACTTGATGATGCACATGTGTAATCCCAGCAGGATCACTGAGAGTTCAAAGACTACCCTGAGCTACAGTACATAGTTCAAGGGCAGTCTAAACTACATAGTGAGACTTTGCTAAAAAAAAATAAAATAAAAAGCTGCAAGTTGGATAATCTTAGGTTTTCTGCAGAAGTGAAAAAGGGGCGTCAGTTGCATACATGCAGACATGGCAAACAAAAGTGCCAGGTGTGGTGGCACACGTATGTAATCCCAGCACCGAGAGGCTGAGGCAGGAGGATGGTTGTGAGTTCAAGACCAGTCAGGGCTACACAGTGAGCACAAGGCCAGCCTTTACATAGTGAGACCATATCTCTGAATGACACAATAAGTAAAACAAAAATGTAAAAGGCAGTATGACATGGCCTTTGTCTTCACACAAACTAGATTTTAGTAATACACTTGTTCCAGGGTGAAGCTGGGCATCTCATCTCTGAGCCTTTCCTCAAGTATCATAATTGCTATTTTGAGGGTTGTGAGGATTAAATGAGATGATCCACATAAAATACATAATTGAGGGTATGATGGTAAATGCCTATAATCCCAGCATTTGGAGAGGCTGAGGCAGGAGGATCTCCATGAGTTCAAGGCCAACCTGAAACTACCTAGTGAGATGAAGTTTAGCCTCAATTACACAAGACTTTGACTAGAAGAAAAACTGCCCAGATAAGTAAGCCTCCAATGACAAAGCCATTTTAACCAGAGTCCCCACTAGTGGCCTAGGGCAAGACTGCAATCCCAATGCTTCCTTGCACAGTAGTCACTATGACCAAAAGCAAAAAATTCCAAGCGGCCACAATTTAACTAGTTGGGCAATGCACAGTGAAGATCAGTACTCTTGTCTTCTGATTGGGTCTGTTCATTAGAACACTGGATGACTCTAATGCAGATAGCACTCAAAGCCCAGATTTAAACTAGAAAAAGTAGGTGAGTAAGGCGCAGCTTTTCGGAGAAGAGCTGGAAGAGAAGAAAAAAGTTCAGTCTCCTGAGTTTTGCCCTCTAATTTTTCTCTAGATTTGAGGGCAAAAGGCTGACGATGTAAAACGCGAGGGAATGGTGCAGCTGGAAGATTATAGAGCTCAAAGGCGTTTGCAGGAGGCCGTTGGGGCATTCTAACACCCCTTCGTACATGCACCTTTTCCTGTGACACTGCCTTTGCCAGAAAAGCTTAACCTTCGCAGGGCCCCAGAAGCCATCCCATTTAAAACACTAGTTTAAAATCAGCCGCGAATCTCCACTAGAGGGACTGCCTCCGATTCGTACGCGCGCGCGCGTGCGCGCAAAGACTTCTGGGAAGCAGTCTCCTCTCCCGGTCTTCCAGTTTCCCGGCGTGCTTCGGGCCCGCCAAATGGGAGGGGGAGACGCAAGATGGCGGCAGCCGCGAACTCCAGCTCTACCCTCCCGCTTTTCGACTGTCCGACCTGGTGAGTGGCGGCAGGGCGTTCGGGACTGGAGTGGCCTGGTTTTAGCTAATCTGACCTGGAGTGGCAGCTCTTTTTTCTCTCAAAGACCCTGGAATGGTTGAAGAAAAACTCCGCTGTGAGGGGCCGAGCGACGTGTGGAGGAGCGGGGCCCAGGAATTGAGAAAGCTTGGGGTCGGAGGCTCAAAGGAGCTCACTTAGGCAGGTGTTTGGGGTTGCTTTGGGGCCTTGGCCCCGAACTTACCCCAACTCCTGACTGAGTGCCTTGTTCTCTCGCGGAGAGCACTGACCCTGGCGCCCCTGCTGCACGTCCCGAGCGCAGATGAGCCACCTTCCCGACCCCAGCCGAACCTCAAGAGTCCTGCACGCATCCTTATGCTGTTGCCGCATCTCGCGTGTTTTACTTGTCTGTCCCAGCAGACTGGGAGAGCCTTGAGGCCAGGGCTGACGCTGACCTACCCACTTATTCTCAATGACCAGCGTGAAGCTCCGCAAAATGGCATCAATAGTTGTTGGAATAAAACCCTTCCATTTCTTAGGAAGTTCTTAGGAATAGTGGGATAATTTAATTCAGTCTTAGGTACAGAATGAATGAGTATGAATTGACATGCAAAGAGACGCATTCTAGTTAGACCTTCTGCTGTAGCTTCCTCATTACAGGCTTTTATCATGTAACTTGTCTCTGCCTCCCATTATATTAAGATCTTCAAGGGCAAAGACTGTTGTATCTTTGTAGTCTCAGTTTCTACCCCTGAGTCAGACAGGCACAGTCAGGTAGTAGAAGATGAGAAAATGTGTTTTGGATATCACATTCCTTTCCCTGTTTCGGACGAAACGAGCCTTTGTCCAGTGCACTGCTGTGGAGAGATTGGGGCGGGATTGTGAGGTGACTGTTGCATCTTCAGTTAGATAGGATACATTTTTTTCTTGTGCAAATGGAGAGGCTCAAGTATCAAATGAGTAAATCCAGGAAGCAAGTGGATATGTGGCTGTTTTCAGGGCTTCTTTACACTTTTGTGACATAAAAGTTGCTTCAGTCTACAGATTCTTTGTCCAGTTTGGTTCCTGGCTACATTGCTTTCAAATTTGGGTCAGGACTGTAAACATAGAAGAGACTCAAAGATCACTTACCGTTTCCCCAAATTCTATTATGTTCCGGGCTTATGCATGTCCCCCTTGAAAGATAAGCTGGAATATAGAGAGGTTTGCTTGGGGCTGGGGATTTAGCTCAGCGGCATAAGCGCCTGCCTTGCAAGCAGGCAGTCGTGAGTTCGATCCCTGGTACCGATAAAAACGAAAAAGAGAGGTTTGCTTAATCATGCTGTTAGGGAGAGACCTGTTTAAGGGTAGCACACCATCCATATTCATTTGGTACCTGGTTTCATGGGCATGAGTTTTGTGTTGCTCTACTTCCCAAATTATGCATCTATGATTTGGTTATAAGAGGTTCAGAACCATCTTCTTTTCAAGTAGTGTTCAGGCCATTACCTTCTCCTTATTTTTTGATAAGATTACTTTTGACCAGCCTAAAACAACAACTGATTTATTCTGTTTGTATGATATTAGGGAAGTAGCAAATTTAGATTCAAACTCCAGATGACCAGACTACCCCAGCTATTGTACTTGTATACTTTATGTGCTTTCTCTCAAAAGTGAATATCCAGTGTTAAAATTTAGGTTTCTTTGGTGCTGCTCTAAATACAGATTCACTAAAATCTGTTTTAGAGCAGTTGAATCACTTGGGAAGTGTCAAACGTAGAAAAGAGCTATAACAGTGAATGATGACATTTTTGTGTGAACATGAACTAATTATAGGCTGATAGGAGAGCTGCAGTGTTGAATGGAACAATGACTGCAAATAACATTTATGCACATGTCCTGAAAATGCTTTTTTCACTGTTCTTCCTCAGGGCAGGTAAACCCCCACCTGGTTTACATCTGGATGTAGTCAAAGGAGACAAACTAATTGAGGTATGAAAATACATATCTTCCTTTTTTTCTCTCCATTCTAAAGTTTTTTGCCAGTGACTCACGTTTCCACCCCCTCTAGTGCTTTTGTTTTCTAGCATTGCTACTTTTATTCATCCTGATTTTTTTTCTAATAAAAGCTCATGATGATATAACACATTCAGGCCTCATATCTCCCCTAGTCATTTTTTTGTGACTTCTGTCACCTTCCAAATGAAGAATTTTTATTAGGTCATGGGTCTGTGATACCCAGTCAAACTGGAAGCCCTCTGACTTGATGAATTTCCTGAGTACATGGAATTGTGTACAGGTATGCAGTACCTGAAGAAAATGAATCATACAGATTGAATTTGACTTATAAGTTATTTGTAAGAGACTTAAGTTCGTCTCCTTCAAGTGTGATAAACCAAGCTACTTACTCAAAAGAGATGTAATAGTGGTAAAGTTCATTCATTCAAAACATAGGGCCGGGGATTCAGCTCAGTGGCTCAAGCGCTTACTTGGGAAGTGTAAGGTCGTGAGTTGGATCCCCAGGACCAAAAAAACCTCCAAAAAAACCCCATTTATTGTTGATTATGTGCCAGTCACTGAGCTCATCAGAGGAGGCTACAATACAGGACAAAACATAGTTCCTGTCTTCAAGTCGTCTCATAGAGAGACTTACATAAAAAATTCAAATTGAAATAAATACTATAAAGGAAAGATTTGGCAGAGATCCAACTTGTATGCAGTCTTCAGAGTGCATACCATGTGAAATTTTAAGAAAATGTAGATATTGATTAGCTATTAGATTGTGTGAGGTTTTATGTATTTTTAAGATAGGGTCTAGCTGTATAGTCCAGGTTGGCCTCAGATTTACAGCAGTCCTGCTGCCTTAGCCTCTTGTGTACTTGGATTACAAGTGTGTGCCACCATGCCTGGTTTGAGTTTTTATTTAGATTGTCAGTTTGCAGGGTTTGTTCCTTTTGTTTTGTTTTTGAGACAAGCTCTCACTGTGTAGTTCAAGCTAGCCTTGAACTCATTACTTAGCCTAGGCTGGCCACACATTTCTCCTTAGGCTCTCAAGTGTGGAGATTACAGGCATGTGCCACTGTGCCCAGCTTTGTTTTTGTTTTTTAGGTACTGGGGATGAAATCTATAGGTTCTTTACTGAGTTTATTTTTTAAAAATCTGCATTGAATTTTTTTAATCAAGAAATGGAAATTAAGCTAATTGCTCAGCTAGAATTTGGGTTCCAAATCCCATTATTGAATGCAGTTGTTTTTATTTGATGTATCTAATAAAAGTACTGCATTTCTGTGGTTGCAAGCCTGAAAAGCTAGTGAAATCTGCTAAAGGATTCCATGTGAATGTATTGTCACTTTCAGGATGTTTTGGAGATAACCAAAAGCATGCATTAGTTATAGTTAATTCTTCTGTTATTAGTTCTTTATGCTTTGAGCTAATCACACAGAGTCCCTTTGTCACAGATTCTCATTGAACCCAGGACCTTTCTATTGAGCTATATCCCCAACCCATTTTATTTTTTTTTTATCTTTGAACAGGGTCTTCCTAAATTGGAACTCAGACTATCAACCCTCCCTCCTCAGTCTACCAAAGTGCTGGGGTCACAAAGTGTGCCACCGCGCTAGGGTGTTCTTTTACCTTAAAGATACTCAAAATATCAAACTATTTAAGGGAATAATTTAAAATATTTGTAATGACCCTTTTACTATATATGGTTCCACAAATACAGAGTTTTCATTGCTAAATAGAACAGCACGAAGTTAAAGATATATGGAGATCTACTTTATTATTATAATTTAATAAATCTTTAATTTGAAACAGAAACAGGACAGGTGGCCTATCCTTAATGATAACATCATATTCTTTGGGGAAAAATGTATATTTTTAAAGCACTGTTACTTATCCAACACTCAGCTGATCACGCGGAGCCTCTTTGTCACAAATACTATCTCTGATACTGCTTTGCATTTGCTGGTGATGTTCTCTTCCAGTATTCTAAGCTTGTTGAGTTGCCCCATAGTTCAGACTGCATACCTTAAACATCAGTGTATTGTTCTTCAGAGAAATAAACCTGAGAGGGGGTGTGTATGTTGCAGTGTTGGGGAATGAATCCAAGGCCTCAGGCATGCTAGGCAAATGCTGCAGCACTGAGCTACATTCCCAGCCCAGTTGTGATTTTTTTTAAAGAGAGTTTAGACTTGATCAGCACTTGATACTAACCGAGCTATCTATATCCTGGCTTTATATCTAAAGCTTGTGATATGTTGTGATAGTTGGGTTGAAGAAGTGCAATATTAAAGCAAAAGCCATGAGATCATTAAGCCCATTGTGTAAAGATGCACTCTGAGTTATAACTCAAAGGCACAACTATATAGTGGTGTTGGCCATAACTAAAGTATTACTTCAAAAGTGACTATGGGAAAATCAATGTAGTATTTCTTTGATGTGTTCACATGTTTTCTTAAAGGCATACTGTTTTTCACTAAAATTTCATAATATTAACATGTCTGTAATTGAGATGCTTTTGATAAGCCTTTTGGGGGCCCTTTGTCTTTTCCTTAGAACAAATTCCTCAGTCTCTGGTTGGCACCCTAGAATCAGAGAAATCTGATCATTGTTATATTGAAACGTGAGAGCTGATGGTCTTACATATTCCTTGTCACCAAAATTTTAACACATTTAAGTTCATGAAAACATAATTTGCATTTTAATATGGGTGAGAAATATAGTGAGATTCAGCTTGAATAAATATTACCCAGTGAGGCATCCATGGCATGAGGTAGCACAGGCCTACTCTGTAGTACATTAGTGTGGTTTAAGCGGGGTGGGAGGAAAAAATAAAAATAAATATTACCAAGACAGCACAAGATGTTGAAATTTCAGAACTGTCTTTTAATTTGAAAGCAGGGTCGTATTTTTAACCCAAGTTTTAGAACTTAGCTCATTGCAGGCATGAGGGTGACTGAGCTGTCAGGCTGTGAAGTCCTGGTGCTCTGTAGCAGTTTGGGCCTGTAGCAAGCTTTACCAGCAGCAGATGGGCACTGTTGTACAGGGTTTCGCAGAGGTGACCTGCATATCCAAGTTGGTTTGAACTGATTGAACCTTAAAGCTCAATTTGGAAGAAACTGGTTAAGTGGTTGTTTAAAGAAAATTAAGAGTGTGACCTACAGTACTTATTCACTCTTTAAAATATGTCTTGCCATATGGAACATCTTTTGATGTAAGTGAAATGAGGAAAATACATAATGTGGTTACAAGAGCTTAGATTAAAGTTACGGAAATATGAATTTTAAACCTAGCCCACAGATAGCTAGCTGTGTGAACTTAAGTAGGTTAATTCCTGTATGCCTCAATTTTGTCAACTAAAAAAGTAGGAAGGGTAGTTCCTATCCACCTCATATGGTAGTCCTCACATGAAATGGCATACCATAAAATTCATAGCAGTATATGGCACATAAGTATTCAGCAGTTTTTTGTGTTGTCAATCCTAAGTCTCTGTGTGTGAGGTGTGAGAACACTAAAGTATAGAATAGAATAGAGTAGCCTGTTGTGAGTTCAAGACCTAGCCACAGGGATGGAGACCTGTTGGTTCCTTGCCTGGTACTGACTTGACTATTCTCAATTTTGTCTTCTCACAGGGATTTGAGAAAGTGAAGTATAATGTGAAGTGTGAACTAGAACTTAACAAGACCTTTGTGTTTCAAAGGAAAAGACAGCAAATGTGCATGAAGGTTTTTCTTCAAATGGCCAAAATAGATGACTAGACAACTATCAATGACATAGATTGCTAGAATTAGAAGTCTTAGTAATAATTCACATAGTCCTTCACCTGTGACAGTCTGGTTTCCAACCAATCTGTGTTAAAGGCTTTACTGACTAGAATTAAAAGAAATATAAGGACAGGATGGTGAGTTTTTCATAAGGCTAAATTCAGCTCAGAGAAATGGTCTTTTCAGGCTAAGTATGGTGGCTCATTCCTCTAATCCTAGCAGTTAGAGATTTAGTCAAGAAGATCACAAGTTCTAGGCCAGCCTGGGCAACTTTGCAAGACCCTTTTGACAAAAAAAGCCTGGGGGTATAGTTCAGTCCTAGTTTTAATCCCCAATAATGGAAGAGGGTGTGGTCCTTTGATCCTTCATCCTTGCCCTCTAAAAGACCCATATGAGGTAGCTCTGTGTTTGGACATAGTATACATTTATAATTAACTCAGAATAATATATTTTTTTTGCCAAAGTAAAATGGGACAATAAAGTTGGATTTGCGGCTCCGGCTCATTAATTGAAGTCTAGTATAATTTCAGTTCTGTTTTGTTTTGTTTTGTTTTGTTGGTACTGGGGCTCGAACTCATAACCTTGTGCATGCCAGGCAGGCTCTTAAGCCATTGAGTAAATCCCTATCCTTGTGATTTCAGTTCTTAAGGATTTCAGTTCAAATCCTTGTGATTTCAGTTCCAAAAACGTTTAGGGCTGTGGCTACATAATGAGGGTACAAATAAATGTTTTTTGTTTTTGGTACTGGAAATTGAACTCACTACCTCGTACTTTGCCAGGCAGGCATTGTGTCACTGAGTTATAATCCCTGGACCTAGGGTGTGTGTATATTCTTAAAATCAATTTTAGTATTTCTTAAACATATTTTGTGCATCTTAATTCCTGTTAGTCCGAAAACTAAGAACCTACAAAACTTTAAATTTCTAATAGGAAAAGACAGCTTCTCTTGCTTTGTCTTATAAGGATATGCACACTTAAATCTATAAAATCAAGAAAATGTAACTAATTAGACTTGGAAGACTGCTTAGGAGCATGACTGCTTAGGAGCATGCTACAAGAAAGATCATGGGATCATTTCAGAAAACAAGTCCCTGAATGAATTTTATGTGCCATAGGTTGTTTTTTTACTTGTTTGTGTTTTGTTTTGTTTTGTGGCTCTAAGGAATGAACCCAGAGCCTTCATGTTGAGCTATATCCCTAGTCTTTTTATTTATTTTATTTTGAGACATAGTGTTGCTAAGTAAGTTGTACATGCTGGACTTGAAACTTTTTTTTTTTTCCTTTTTTATCGGTACCAGGAATCGAACTCACGACCGCCTGCTTGCAAGGCAGGCGCTTATGCCACTGAGCTAAATCCCCAGCCCCTGGACTTGAAACTTATAGTCCTCCTGTCTCTGCTTCTGAGAGTACTGGGATTACAGGCATGTGTCTCCATGCCTAGTTATACAGATTAAAAAAATGAGAAAACTATTTTCTTCATCACAAATTTTAATCTATTCAAGATTTTTTGCTTATTTGGTTGGAGGTTTTTTGTTTCCTGTTGTGACAAAATTTAAGTAATATTTAATATTTATTTAGAAACTGATCATTGATGAGAAGAAGTATTACTTATTTGGGAGAAACCCTGATTTGTGTGACTTTACCATTGACCACCAGTCTTGCTCTCGGGTCCATGCTGCACTGGTTTACCACAAGCATCTGAAGAGAGTTTTCCTGATAGATCTTAACAGTAGTAAGTATCTCCCTCCCATAGCACATGTTGCTCATAGACAGTATGAAAATGTTCTTTGGGTTCTTAGTTTGGAAACTTGTTTCACTGCATGTCAAGAGAAAAAATTTATAGTTGATGTGTTTAAATCAGGTCTTCACTATTTCTGTGGTACTGTTTTCCTGAAATAATTGATAATTATGGAAGGAAGAGGGTTTTGAGAGCACTGTCCTAAAGGAGTACTAAGTATATGTAGAGAACAAAACTGGCACCCCAGAATGAGGGAGGATAAGTATTCAGATATTTTGGGACCATGATAACTGTGTTTCAATTTAAGCAGAAGCCATGATTAACTCCATTGATATAATAGAGCAGCAGTACAGTACATTTTAAAGATACTTGTTTGAGCAAAATTTATTTATTGGTACCAGGGATTGAACTTACTATCTGGCATTTGCCAAGCAGGCGCTTACACCACTGAGCTAAATCCCTGACCCCTATTTTGCTCATTTATAAATAGAGTATAAAACACAAGAAGAGGGTCCTGCTTCCTGACATCATGTGCTAAAAAAATACCCTCCCCCTAAAAACACTCATATATACATATGTATACATGTACATAGTGTATACATATACACTTCCCCAGTCTACTTACATAAGGGACTTGCTGAGCTTTTTCTACAGGTCCTCATCTCTCCATTTTATAACATGCAAAGTGCTGACATGGAAAAATATTGAGAGTCTCGTAGAATTTTGGCTTGCCTTGGCATTGACATTGCACCTGTTTTGCTCAAGCACCTTTATTGCCTGAAGGAATATGTAAGCATAGCTGACACCAGGCCAGCAATTTTCATGGTCCTTATATGTGGAGCTAGAGAAGACAGACAGCAATGCTCATCTGCCTTACGGGGCATGACTTCTGTTGAGTCGAAACCATGGCATCAAGCCTGTCTAATAGTAAAGAAATGGGGCAGTGGTCTGTTATGTGGAGGAGCAAGAGGTCTGAAGATTTACAAGAAATCCAGTGAAGAGAGCTGGGTATGGTAGTACATATTTGTAATCCCAACACCCTTTGGGAAGCTGAGGCAGGAGAATTGCTGTATACTTGAGCAACAGTAAGAGTTCAAGGACAACAAAGACCTGTCTCAAGAAAAGTAAGAGCAAAGAAAAGAAACCCACTGAGGAGATTCAAGGCTCAGTGAAAGAGATTTCCTTTTCCCTGAAATATGTGACAGAGATACAGTGGATCCAGGGCCATTTTTTATTTTAAAGGTTTGTTTCCTGATCATAAATTTTTTTAACTTAAACAAACATCCAAACTTTTGTTCTGGGAGGGGGGTGGCCTGAGAAGAGAGCCAAAGATGATATTCTGCCTTTTAAAATGCACTCTTTTTGTGGTTTCTTCCCTTACATTCTGATTTGGTTATTCCCAGCACATGGCACTTTCTTAGGTCACATTCGGTTGGAACCTCACAAGCCTCAGCAAATTCCCATCGATTCCACAGTCTCATTTGGTGCATCCACAAGGGCATACACTCTGCGTGAGAAGCCTCAGACACTGCCATCAGCTGTGAAAGGAGATGAAAAGATGGGTGGAGAAGATGATGAACTCAAGGGCTTACTGGGGCTTCCAGAGGAGGAAACTGAGCTTGATGTAATTCTATGTCTGTGTCATTGTTTTGTGTTTGGGGAAGCTGGTTCTTGCAGTATGTTGCTGTTCTGTGATTTGAAATGGCAGGAGGTTCTCTTGAGCCCATTAATGAGCCCCATGGCCAGCTATGTCTCCCTGCCATTAGAACCTTTTATTGGCTATTAGAAGCCAAAGGCGGGAATTAACATTTTTCTATCCTTATAACTGCTTAGAGTTATGTTGTCTAAATTGGTACCTATTAACTGCATTTCAGCTACTGTATTCAGTAGTCATGTGTAACCAGTAGATTCCATATTAGATAGCCCAAAGAAGAGAATACAGAAAGCCCTCCAGGTTAGCATTCTCAAATTCAACCAACAGCAGATTGACAGTATTCAGGGAAGTAAAATTACATCTATGTAGAATACACAGACTTTTTTGTTATTACTCCCTCAACACACAGTATACCAGCTGTTTACATAGCATTTACATTGTACCTGATATTACTAGTAATTTAGAAAGAATTTAAAGTATATGGGAGGATGTCTGTAAGGTATATACATACATACATTTTACTTGAAGTACTTGAGCATCTTCGGGTTTTAATACCCACAGTGAGTCCTGGAGCTGGTCCTTGTCAAGTGCTTAGGGATGACTGCATGTGCACCATTGCAGAAAGCTCTGTTGGACAGCACTGGTTCAGCAAGACTGCCACTTACATTCGTGTAGCTTTTTTGATGCTATCCAAATACCAGTAGTCTTCTGAATAGAATCACACTGCTTCTAGATTGCTTTTATTTTTATGAACCTGAAGACCATGAATTTTAAAGTCCTGAGAGATTTTTTAGAAGTGTGGGGAGTTTTGTGGTTTGAACCCAGGGCCTTGTGCATGCTAAACATATGCTGAACCACTGAGCTCTACTCCAAGCCCAAATTTTCCATTTCTGGAAGCTGAGCACAGTTGTTTGTAATGTGGCTACACTGCACTGTGTGATTATCTGTTCAAATAGATCAGATGCAAGGGTCTTTAACCATCCATATATGTATATTTACTATTGTATCTCAAGACAGTTTCCTAGTACTTAGGAAGGAAACAAAGCACAGTAGAAATCTTACCATTTAGAAGTCATTCAGTTCTAAAGAAGTGGCCTCATATTAGGAACCTTGCTGACAGTCAGTCTTGCCCTTCTCCCCTCCCAGTTGCTTCTGGGCTTCCCTGTGTTTTAGTTCAGTGTATTAAGTCTTCCGGCTCTTCATTCTGAGATATTTGGAACATCTCAAATTGTAATGCCAGTTGAAATCAGTTGAATGCATTGGGAAGAGGCAGTGATGAGGCTGGGTTAATTGTGGAGATGAATAAGAAGTTATGAATAGAACTGAGACCAGATATAAGAAGGGGAATGACAAAAGATTAATGTCAGAAACTAAGTACACTGATAATATCCTTAAGAATTACAAAGGAGAGAGCTTCTGAGAAAGAAGCAGCCACTTTTCCTTCTTTTTTTTTTTTTTTTAATTTCTTTTGTTTAAAACAATTCTTGGAGTTCTTCTGTCTCACATCTTTTTTAAATCTCAGTAGGAACACATATTAGTGTTCTTCCAAAAAAAAAAAAAAAACAGTACTTCAACTCCAAGCAGTTTGCCCAAGCGAGCTATTGTGTCACTGGTCTGTGAGGATGTTCAATGTTCTTTCAAGTGAAACTTGTTAGTGTTACCAGTCTAAGAATAATATGGATCTCCTCTAAATGCAAAAGTTTCATCTGCATTGGAGGTTAAAGTAAGCCCCTGATGCTTCCTGCTATTTGTTTAGTAGAATATTCTTCATCCAATTCACTATGTATTGACCTCTGTCTTTCCTTTGTGAACCCTGGCCTAGAATCTAACAGAATTTAACACTGCCCACAACAAGCGGATTTCTACACTCACTATTGAGGAGGGAAATCTAGACATTCAGAGACCAAAGAGGAAGCGGAAGAACTCGAGAGTGACTTTCAGTGATGATGATGAAATCATCAACCCAGGTGAGATCTCTTTCTTTCTTCTGGTGGAAAAGTTAGTGTCTGTAGCCTACAGGTCAGCTGCAACATTGCCAGCAAATATTAAGATAAAGGTGCTATATTGAGGGGGGATGTATTTGTGTGAGTACCATTCATGAACTGTTTGTACCGTTGGAGCTCCTAAACTGAACAGTTTTTTAGAAACAATCTTGTTTGTCAATAAATTTCAGTGGATGAAAATGAGGAATGCCATCTATTAAGTTGCTTTTGTTTCCCAAGTTGAAATGCTCAGTAACTTGTAAGTACTGAATTTAGGTTCAAAATATGAGTTATTTAAGTGGTGATCTCTCCACTGACAGGTTATGGAAAGAAAAGACCTAGGAATTTTAATTGAAAATGCATTCTGAGTCATCAGGAGATATAGAAACTAATCAAGTGCAATTCAAGTTTGAATTCATAGAATACTGGTGGGGACAGTTATCCCTCCTGGGTGTATTCTGACCAGAATTCCCCACATAACTTGTGGAGTCCTGAAGGGAGTGAAGGCTCATAGCCATAGAGGACAGCTCCCTGGATGCTAGGGAGATAAGGGAACTGTGCTTATGGGGAAAAGAAGAGGCAAACATTCCCACCATGACCAGGAAGAAGAGAGCCAAAACTAGAGCCAGTCGGTACCAAGTGTTTTGACTCAGGATTAAAGGAAAGTAGAAGCCAGGGAATCTCTGGCTTGTATTTTAAAAAAAATGAAAATGGTTTCTGTGAAAGAGGTCGGGGATTAATTCTACTGACTACAAGTTTATTTTCTGATGTTGTGTGAAGTGAAATAGATTCTCAAAGTAGTGAGTCCCCAAAGGAGTTTGTTCAGGCAGGGACTCAATGACCAATCTGAGAGTTTTCATAAACTTGATTCTTTTTTTTTTGGTACTGAGGATCGAACTCATTACCTGGTGCCTGCTGGGCAGGCCCTTATGCCACTAAGCTAAATCCCCAACCCCAAACTCAATTCTTTCCCCCATTTCTGTTAACTGGGGGACTGAACCTAGGGCCACTTTACTACTGAGCTACATCCTACTCATTTGAGACTTAAGTGGCTGAACTTGGTCTTGAACTTGTGATCCTCCTGCCTCAGCCTTCTGAATGGCCAGAATTGTAGAGTAGCAGCTGGGATTATACCTGTATGCCACTGTGTCTTGTTTGAATTTTGTATTTTTAAGCAAATTCCAGTTTGTATTGATAAATAGCTATCAATTTGAGAACTACTGGACTAGATGATCTCTGTCTCTTTCAGGAAGCAGGATCTGATTTGCTGTGTTGAAAATAGTGCCATGGGGCTTTAAGTCATGTGTTCAAACAAGGTAGCATAATGCTTAAAAGCAAGGGCTTTGAAATCTGGGGACCTAAGTGAAGTCTCCCTTTCCTCTTAGTAGCTCTGTAAATTTGGCCAAGTGACTTAGCAGACTGCTGACTTCACAGTGTTGGCAGAAGGATTAAATGTGATTAAATTAATACTTAAGATTAGTGCTCATTATGTATCCCTCAAAAATTGTTAGCCAGTGTCATCATCATCATTATCTGCCTCATCCATTCAGCCTTTCCTGTACCAGAGAGAATTTGCAAGAAATTAGAGGTAGCTCTTCAAGAGCACAGCTATCTAGACCCGTGTGACCCTTCTGTGACTAGAATATTGAGACAGAAGGAACAGAGGGTGTGGGTCCCCTGGAGCAGCGTAGCTCTGCTCCACTGCAGGCTTATAGCACAGGAAGGGGGTGTCACCCGTTCCACTTGGGCTCTATTTGCCCTTGTGCTTCATTTAGCCCTTATCATCCTTGCTGGAGTGGTGTTTGAAACAGTTTCTGAGAAGAGAGAGAAAAGATTGTACTTTCTGAGAAATACTTTTTCCTAATGACCCAAGATATCCACGTAGAAGCCTTTATTCGGTGAACAAAGATTGGTGTACCTGAGTATGTTCTTCAGAGGCATCTTCATATGTGAAAAGCCAGACTTAGAGAAACCAAAAAGCTAAGTACTCACAGTAAATAGAGATTCTGTTTTCCTAGGGGTTTAACAGGAGTGCTTCTTTCATTAGCAAGCAACTTCCATACATTTAAAATCAGATATAACTTCTGTTAAGGAAACAAGGTTCTTCTCTATACAACATTAAGCTAAAGGGGCCTGGAGTAATTTTCTTTCTTTCTTTTTTTTTTTTTTAATCGGAACCGGGGATCAAACTCATGACTGCCTGCTTGCAAGGCATGCGCTTATGCCGCTGAACTAAATCCCCAGCCCTGGAGTAATTTTCAGTAGTAATGTTGAAAACACTATGTCTGTCATTTCCACATGCTCAGCTTTTGGGAAAGAGACTCCTGTATCCTAAGTAGCATGGCCTATCCACCCTCTGATACTCTATATTCTTGATGTGCTTCTGTGTGTTGTGACTTGTCTCTTGTTTCTTTAAACTACTCAAAGGCAGTGTAATATCTTGCTCTTTATTTCCATGCCTGATGATTATAAAGCCAATAGCTTTGTGGGGTACAGTAGTACTTAGGTAAACTGTGAAGAAGGAGGTGCTCTCACTCTCCCCAGGCAAGGGGATTCAGATGCTTGATTATACCAATCTGGATTGTAAGCTGAGTGTGGTGGTACGCACCACTAATCCTGGTACTGGGAGACTGAGACAAAAGGATCATACTGAGACACTGCCTCAAAAAAAGTTTTGATTATGTATAGTTTATACATAATTGTTTGTTGTTGTTGTTTTGTTTTTGTACCAGGAACTGAACTCAGGACCATGTGCTTGCCAGGCAGGCACTTATGCCACTGAGCTACATTCTCACCCCCTATTATGTATAGTTTAAAGCAGGGCATAATGGTGCACACTGTAATCCCAGCTACTGGAGAGGTTGAGGCTAGAACAGGCAATATCTCAAAACAAAAAACATATAGTTAAGTTATTCAGCTTAAAAGGCAAGGATAAGCTTGTTTGTTGATAAATAGATATTAGCAAGTTGTGTACGAATGTGACCTCTTGTCATTGTTTTATCAATAATATGAGATTGATTATTACCGCTCCATCCTGACCCCCTCAAAGAGGAAATGTGTGGAATGGGAGAGAACTTGGAGAAGGCAGCACAGTACTATGGTCTGGAACGCAGGCCTATCTAACTACTCAGACTCAATTTCCAGATCCTCTTTTCTATCAGAGTGACTGGGCTTGTCAGCTCCTCTGAGCTTCAGTCTGTTTTCTTGTCTTAATCTAATACTGGTTACAGTAGAACTTACCAATTGTGGGGTTGTTGAAGGGATTTAACGTGATGCCCAGCACATGGTAAACACTTGGTGTGGACTTTATTTTATTATTGGAACCAGTCATTGTGCTTGTTTGGTTTTCAGTGAGCCCTTTACCCTTATATCTCCAAATAGAGCACCAGTCCAACTCTTCCCTCATCTCTTTTTGCAGAGGATGTGGATCCCTCAGTTGGTCGCTTCCGGAACATGGTGCAAACCGCAGTGGTCCCAGTCAAGGTAGGAAATACATTTTAACAGTATTTTAAATGCCTGAATTCAAAACACAGTTGGGGATGAGGGGAGAAAACACACTAGCCAGGCATGGTGGTGCACTCCTGTAATCCCAGCACTCAGGAGGCTGAGGCAAGAGGATCATTGGCGAGGCAGTCTGGGCTACAAAATGAGGTCAAGGCCAGCCTGCACTTCATAGTGAGACCTTTTCGCAAAAAGACAAAAAACCAAAAGCACACACAGTTGGAGACTTGGAGGTATAGCTCAGTAGTAGAGCATGTGCTTAGCATGTCAGCCCCTGTGTTTGATCCTTGGCACCACAAAAACAACACCAACAGCAAAATACATCTTGGTGTGTGTAGGTGGGTGTTAAGTGAACACATAATTTTATTTTTTTTATTTATTTATTATTTTTGGTCTTTTTCCTTTTTATCAGTACTGGGGATCTAACTTACAACTGCCTGCTTGCAAGGCAGGCGCTTATGCCGCTGAGCTAAATCCACAGCCCCGAGCACATAATTTTAAAACACATTCCATGCTTCTCTCCCATTTTTCATCCATGGAAATATTTTTGCTCTTATTCACCTCATGTCCAACAAATCCTGGAGTTCCAAAGGAAGGCTCCCTGTGACCAACCAGCTTGGCATGCAATATGGCATGCAAATTATGTGCAGTATAAATCTATAAGTTTACTTTCCAGAAGGGTGCAGAAAGAGGCTCAGCTTCCTTTGACCTTTTTCTTTAGACTCAAAATAACCATCTGGTGAGGGAGAAGTATTATTGCAGCACTGTACAACATCTGGGCCATTATTTTGTACACGGGAATGGCACATTTAAGAAGGTCAGTCTAGATCTGGGTTAGGTTTAAAGAGATAAGGTATATTAGAGAATCAACAATAGAAGTTACAGATACACTCTTCTTCCAAACATGTGAAGGAACTTCCTAATGGGTAGAACTGTGCAAAAGGGAACAAACTGCCCTTGGAAGTAGTAAGATTGTAGTAAATCCCTGATAATAGCAGCATTCAGAAAGTGATTGGAAGCCAGTACTGGCTGTAGTGATGGCAGTTGGGAAGCGGAGGCAAGAGAGTTTTGAAGCCTTCCTGGGATAACAGAAAAACTCTGCCTCAAAAAAAAAAAAGAAGATGGATTTGGTGGCTCATGCCTATAATCCTTGTATTTGTAAGGCTGAAGCAGGAGGATCACTGTGAGTTTGTTTGAGACCAACCTGCACTACACTATGTAGTGACTGACTCTCAAAAAAAAAAAAAAGTCATTCCCTCCAAAAAAAGTGATTGGTTGAGCGTGATTGTAGATACTGTGGAGACCATGGAGAGTTTTGATCTTAAAATCTAGTTAAAGGGCTGGGCATATAGCTCAGTGGCACAGCGCCTGCCTGTCAAGCACAAGGTCCTGAGATTGTTTCCAGTAACAAAAAATAAATGCATAAAATCTTTAGAATAAATTCATCCTTTCATATTCATGAGTTGGTTTTAGGACCACTTTAAATATCAGAGTCCATGGATGTTCTAGTCACCTATGTAAAATGGTATAGTATTTGAAATAACCTCTGCTTGCCTTCCCATATACTTTTTTTTTTTGTACCAGGAGTTGAACTCAGGACCTTGTGCTTACCAGGCAGGTGCTTACGCTGCTGAGCTATACCCCATCCCTCTACTATACTTTAAATCATCTTTAGATTACTTATAATACTGAATACATAATGTAAATATTTGTATAGTTGCTATATTATTTTGCTTAGGGAATAGTGACAAGAAAAGTATACATGTTTAGTGTGTTTTGTTTTTGTTTTTCAAGTATTTTTGACCTTCAATTGATTGAATTCAGATTTGAAAGCCAAGTGTTAGACTGAACTGACAAGACGTGTCAGAGTTGCAGCTTCATTTTTTTGTAGTCAAGCAGAGAAAAGGGGGAGAAGCATCTTTCATGAGCTTTAGTGTAGTATGACAAAGTAGATGAATTTTTTTTCTTCAGGGTACATCATATGTCCATTTCTCCCTGAGCTCTTTCTTTTTTTTGTCTTTTTTTCCCCCCGCTTTGCTGTAATAAATTTTTATTTTGAGACAGGATCTCTTAAATTACCCAGTTGCCCTTGAACTTGGGAGCTTCATGCCTAAGCCTTTTGAGTGGTTGGGTTTACACATATATGCCACCAATACAATTTTATTGTGATATAATTTATATACAGTAAAATGTAAATGTTCTAAATGTATAGTTTGAGTTTTCATATGTGGATGTTTCTAACCCTAAGGCTAACCCCTATATCACTGCGAATTAGAGACCAGCCTGAACTACATAGTAAGTTTAAGGCCACCTTGGACTATATAACAAGACTATATAATAAGAAAATTTAAAAAGAAAAAGAAAATCAAGAAAAAATATATATGTACACTTGTGTAATCACCACTATAATCAAGGTACAGAAATTTTTCTTCACCTCAAAAAGTTCCCTTGTAGCTGGGCAGTGTGGTGACATCTATAATCCCAGCACTCGGGAGGCTGAGGCAAGAAGAGTGCCACAAGTTTAAGGCTAGCCTGAGCTAGCCTTAAGTTCAGGCCAACCTGAACTACATAGTCTCAAAAAAATTTTTTTTTCTCTTGTGTCACATTGCAGTAAATCCCTTCCAGCCTAGCCCCAGATCATCAATAAACTTGATTACAGATTTGTTTTAGATTATTTACAAAGTGGAGATGGTTTGGCAAGCACAAGGTCGTGAGTTCAATTCCCAGTATCAAAAAAATTGGAGGTGGAGCCAGGACTGGTGACATATGCCTATAGTTCCATCTTCTCAGGAGGCTGAGGCAGAGGAACACAGGCCAGCCTGGACTATAATAATCATGAGAAGAAGAATTGGAGTCATACATACTGATGCATGCCTATATCACAGCTGCTTGGAAGGCTAAAGTGGAAGGATAAATGTGAGTCCAGCTTAGGTAACAGTGAGATCCTGTCTCAGAAAAAGAAAGAAAAATCAGGTATCAGGTATCTGGCTCTTACAGTCCCAGGAACTCAGAAGACTGAGGCAGGTAGATCAGTTGAACCCAGGAGTTTGAGGCGATAGTACACTATACACTAAGTTTGGCATCAGCATAGTGGCCTTCCACTATGCTGTGGTGGCTTCCTAGGGAGCCACCACATTGCCTAAGGAAGGATAAACTAGCCCTGGTCAGTGGTCAGAACTCAGGAATAGCCACTGCAGTCCAGCCAGAACAATATAGCAAGACTTCATGAGTGTTTGTTTTTGTTTGTTTTTTGCCTTTTTGAGACAAGGTCTCACTGTGCAATTCAGGCTGGACTTGAGCTCACTTTGTAGCCCAGGCTGGTCTCAAATTTGCAATGATTACCGTGCCTCAGCCTCCTAAGTGCTGGGATTATAGATGGGCACCACCACGCCTGGCTTTTAAGACCTTGTGTTTTATGTTACCAAAGAAAAATAGTCTGGGGATGTAGCCCAGGAATTGGATGCTTGCCTGGCATGCATGAGGCCCTAGGTTCAGTCCCTTACTCCCCCCACCAAAAAATTGGATACACAACATAGAAGTATCAACATTTTATGTTCTCCCTCAAAAAGAAAGTAGCTAAAATATTTCCTAAATCAACATAGTATAAGTGTGATCCAGGATGTAAAGAATAGTCTTTTAAATTCCAGAAGTTTTACTACAGAGCTCAGAGTATTGTCCTCATTTTTCTCCATTTGACATAGAATGGTAAAACCTTTATGAGGGTCAGTGTAATCTTCAGACCTAAGATTTCAGGACCATGTAGTAGGTTTCTGGGGAAAAGAACAGACTGAAAGGTAGGGATCTTGAGAAAGGCCTGCACGGCTGTCTGCACAACACTGAGAAAGGTTTTTCTAAGCCTGGAATGGGGAAAAAAACAAACAAAATGACTCTTATTCTTCCTCTCTTCTCTCCCCATCCGTGTGGCAAACCACAGAAGAAACGGGTGGATGGCCCCGGCTCCCTGGGCCTGGAGGAATCTGGGAGCAGGCGCATGCAGAACTTTGCCTTCAGTGGAGGACTCTACGGGGGCCTGCCCCCCACGCATAGTGAAGCAGGCTCCCAGCCACATGGCATCCATGGGACAGCACTCATTGGTGGCTTGCCCATGCCATACCCAAACCTCGCTCCTGATGTGGACTTGACACCCGTCGCGCCATCAGCAGTGAACATGAACCCCACACCAAACCCTGTAGTCTATAATCCTGAAGCTGTTAATGAACCCAAGAAGAAGAAATATGCAAAAGAGGCGTGGCCGGGCAAGAAGCCCACACCTTCCTTACTGATTTGATATTTTTGGTCATGGAGAAAGGTGGGAGTGGGTGGGGTGGGATGGAAGGGTGACGGGGGAGCTAATGTACAAGGGAGAAAAACTTTCCATGTGTGCAGTATCGTCTTTCAGAATGTCTCCTGGGGTCCTGACCGTGTATATGAAGACTGGGGTGGGCTGAAATATCCCATGAAGCTGTCTGCACAACACTGCTGGTATAGAGAAAGGTTGTGTTGGTTGCTTTAGGTGCACCACTCTGGCTCTTTCTCAGGCCTTCCATTGGCTCCTTCGTCCTTCTCCCTCTGTAGTATCATTTTTATGTGATGTCGCATAGCCCAGGTAGAATTCAGAGCTGTGGAAGTAGCAGTAGCCTCATTTACATTTACTGTCGTCGTAAATCCCAGATAGCAAAGGGTTGCCATGGATCCCAGGCTGATCAAAAAGGTTTAGCATTCTAAAGGTTTAAACTCTAACATATTTTCATGGGTCAGTGGTTTTGAGGTCCAATGGTTAGGCTTTTCTCTTTTGTCCTTTCTATTGGAATGAGAACGTTTTAATTTCCTTTTATCTGTGCCCAATGCAGGTTTATAGTTTTTAACTTGCAGTATTTGAACTGTACCTATTTTCTTGTCAAACCTGAGCACTCCACTTACCTAAATTTCTCATTTAGTTCCAGAGTAAGTACTGTCCTCTACTCTCTAAGGCATTATTCTTCTTTTTCAGTGTGTTATGTTTATGTTTTTGTTTTTGTTTTGAGACAGGGTCTTGCTATATAGTGCAGGCTGGCCTTGAACTCACAGTGATCCTCCTGCCTCAGCCTCCTGAGTGCTAGGATTATAGGTGTCCACCACCGTACCTGGCTTTCAGTGTGTTATGAAGGCAATTTTTTCCCTAGGCTGTGACCACTTAGGTCAATTCAAATTTAAAAGAAAATATATGGACAGGGGATTTAGCTCAGCAGTCAAGCACTTGCTTAGAAAGCACAAGGTTGTGAGTTTGGTTCCCTGGTACCAAAAAAAACTAAAGTCAAAGATGTTAAAAGAAAATAATTTCTTTTGCAAGCAACTGTTGTCTCTCCAGAGGACATTTTTACCTGTTGATTTGGAGGCTCTTCCCCCCTCAGTTGAGAGCTCTTTCCTCAGAGCTCCAAGACTAGACCTGGCTATAGGAGACAGAGGTAGGAAACGTTAATAGGAGCTTTGTACAGAGATTTGTACATTTGTGTAATAGGGCTTTTCATGCTTTATGTGTAGCTTTTTACCTGTAACCTTTATTACATTGTAAATTAAATGTAACTTTTGTCACTCGGGTGCAGTGTTGCAGTCCATCTACACCATCGCTGATCACCAGGGGCCAGGGCCCTTTGTCAGACTCATGGCTGCCAGGCTTGGAGGTGGAGCTTTGTCCGCATTTTATTGCCTCAAAAAAGATGGTCCCTAAAGGTGGAAATTCTAACCAGAGAGTCTAGTCCTCAAGCTGAGGCCTCACAAAACAAAGTGGTTTAAGAGATGGTCGTTGCCCTTCTCAGAAGACAGGACAGTCATAAGTGAGCTCTGGGCCTCAGGCATTTGTCCTACAGTGGGCCAGTTTAAGCCTATTCGCCCACTTGCATGCATCTCTGTGGTATAGCTCAGTGGCACAGGTGCGAAAGGAAACAAGTTTTGGGAAGCCGAGAGGGGCTTTCAGCAGGTTTCACAGAGTGATTTTGTCCTGCTTCCTTGCATCTCGTTGGCAGTAAGTACAGTGTGGGTAAGATACATGTGGCTTCGTGAGGAAGATGCCAGCTAAGTTCCCATCTTTAGTGGCTTGAGAGTGCGGACTTGTGGCAGGAGCAGCCTTCTAAAGAACAGGGATCCATGGCATCCCAGCTGTGCAAAGGGCTGGCCTCAGGGGCTCTGTAAAGATAAGTCCTCATCTTAGGAGCACAGTAACCAGACAGCACGCCTTCCATCCTCAGGTAGAAGCATCCTCTGCCCATTTTATGTGCAGATCAGAAGCTCAGACATAAAATAACTCCTGTGAGCCACTGTGAAATGCTGCTTCTCCGAATCTAGAACTCCCAGAGGGGCCAGGGAAGGTGGGAGATCTTGGCTTGTGACTAGCACTGCATTATGCCCAACTGGCTACATTTTCTCTCCTGGCTGTTTGTTTTGAAGTTAAACACCCAAACTGAACACTGTACTGGAAGTCCAGTGTACTAATGGGTTTAGATTTAGTTTAGGTAAACTATATCCTTTCTGGTGAAGAATTATGCCATGCATTTTTGGTTTCAAAATTTGCATTGGGAGGGGCTGGGGATTTAGCTCAACGGCATAAGTGCCTGCCTTGCAAACAGGCAGTCATGAGTTCGATCCCTGGTACCGATAAAAAGGAAAAAGACAAAAAAAAAAAAGAATTTGCATTGGGGCCAGGTGTGGTGATGCATGCTGGTAATCCCAGCACTTGGGAGGCTGAGGCTTGCTGTGAGTTCGAAGCCAGCATGAACTGCATGCAAGACTTTGAAAAAAAAAAAAAAAAGGAAGGAAAGGAAGGAAAAGAATTTGTATTAGAAGCTGGGCAAGCTGGCACATGCCTGTGACCCCAGCTCTCAGGAGACTGAGGCAAGAGGGTCATTGTGAATTCGAGGCCAGCCTAAACTACATAGACTCTTAAGCCACCACCACCACCACCACCAAAAAAAAAAAAAAAAAAGAATTTGCACTGGAGAGAGTGAAACATCCTGGCATCTCAAAATTCAACAGAAAGTTCCAATGCGGAAGGATATTTTATCTCACTTCAAGGATCCAGTCAAGCTAAAACATGGTGACAGGAACCTGTGATATAGCTACTCCGGAGCTTGAGGCAAGAGGTCCCAAGTTCAAGGGCAGCCTGGCCAGTTTATTGAGATACTGTCTCTGAACTAAAAGGTAAGAAGGATTACAAGTTAGCTTGGTGGTGGAACTCGGCTAGCTTATGTACAAGGCTCTGGGTTTAATCCCTGGCAGCACTAAAGGCCTCAGTCTACCTGTGTACATGCACAATTGACTGCACTTCCTAGTTACAGATGATAAGGAGACAAGTATTTGTGGCTTAACTGGTGCCATGTTTCTGTCTTAATTCAAATCATAGTTTAATGCCCCTCCAAGATGAATACCCAGGAGCACCCCAGGAAAGGGCTTATTTGCCTTTCACCCTTGTCCTCTGAATGAAGAACATAGCTAAGCCCCTCCTGCTCACTACCAGGATTGACAAATGACCTCTATTGCATGTGGGCATGATGCTGCCAGGGAACATGGGCCCACCACAGACAGGAAGTAACTTGGCTTCCATGGAGATCTGTATATGTTAATAGGTCATCTGCCAGGGAAGAAAGGCCTGATCCAGAAGAAAGCTGGGTGAAGCCTGGGGAAGACACACACAACCCAGCAGTGTCCAGGGGATCCCTGCTCGGTCAGCTGTGTGATGGCTGCTGGCCTAAAGCATGCTCATCATTATGTGAACATCGTAAACTTCCAGGATGAGAAGAGAACCAGCATCCTACTCACATGCATTTTGTGGGCCAACAAACCTTGGTAATGAGTTTCGTTCAGCTGCAGTGGATTGAACATGGTGAGTATGACACACAGATGAGTAACCCCTGCCTGCAGGAAGCCCACTTTCCAGAAGGAGGCAGCTCCACATACTAAGGATGTAGAGAGCACTAGTGGAGAGGTGGATGGGTAAGGATATGAAGCCCCTGACCTACCGGGGTTAGGGAGGCTTCTGGGGGGCTGACAAGCTGAGCTGAGGAGTGTGGGTCAGAGTTTTCCAGGAGAAGGATATGGTGTAGGAATAGCGGGCAGCTGGGAAGGGAGAAGAGTCCACCCTGCACCTCTTGCTGGGGAATTTGAAAGTACCAAGAAGGGATTGGGGATTTACCTCAGTGGCATAAGTGCCTGCCTTGCAAGCTTGTGGTCATGAGTTGGATCCCTGGTACCAATAAAAACAACAACAACAACAAAAAAAAAACCAAGAAAGATTTTTCTTTTGCATGCATGCATACAGATTATAAAGATATGTTTGGGTATGTATTTTGGAAAAATCCAGAAAAAATATACATACACCCTCTTCATCTAGAATTCAGGGAGGTTTCCTTGAGGGGCAGTAACTGGTCAGATTCAGATGCTAGAAAATGCCCCTGGGAGGTGGGGGGAAAGAAAAGAAAATGCCCCTGAAAGGGGAGAGAATTGTGGAAACTTACAGAGCAGCTACATTTGATGGCTCCAAATGGTGGAGAGAAGACCCCAAACAGAAGCAAAGATGGAATGGAGTGGGCTGAAGCTCCTGGCATGTGATGAGGTGGTGGAAAGGTCTTTCTTTGCATGCAGTTCTCTATTTGGAAGGAAGGACTGGATTCTGAGGCTTCTACCTCTGCACGGAGCCAGGAGTGCAATTCCAAACCTGCCAGCAGATGGGGCCCTGGGCCCAGCCTTGGAGCCACTCTGGTAACCAAGGGGACTCTTAAAAGAGTTGCAGGGCTGGAGAAAGGGAAGGAATAGAATCTGACTCATTGGACATCTTACCCAGGACATTTTTTTTTCTACCCCGGGCATATTCTGGGTGTTGTCCCTCTCAATTTCCCCAAAAGTACCGAGAGGAAGTGGATAGTGTCCTTGTTTTACAGATAGATAGAGAACTTATGACTCACCATACAAAATGGAGGCTATTACCCTGTGAGATGGCGCACACCTATAATCCCAGTGCTGGGAACAGGGTGGTGATGGTGGTGGTGGTGCTGCTGCTGCTGCTGCTGCTGCTGCTGCTGAAGCAGGAAGATTGTTGCGAGTTCAAGACCAGCCTGGGCTACAAAGTGAGCTCAAGGCCAGCCTGCACTGCATAGCAAGACCCTGTCTGAAAAAGACGGAAAAAATAAAAGAAGTTCACTCAGGGGCTGGAGATTTAGCTCAGCGGCATAAGCGCCTGCCCTGCAAGCAGGCAGTCGTGAGTTCGATCCCTGGTACCAATAAAAAGGAAAAAGACAAAAAATAAAAAAAAATAAAAAAAAAAAGAAGTTCACTCAGCTGGCTCGTGGCAAAGCAGGATTCACACATGGCCTTGTGTATGGAACCATGAGCAGCCCCTGGCAGCTCCATTTCTGGGTGCTGCCCTGCCTGTTCCCAGAGTTGGAGAAAAACTGCATTTTGGTCCATTTCCGGTTTTTGTCTCACTTGATTTCCTAGCCCTTCTGTGTCCATCTTTGGTCCCCTTTGTAGTAAGCAGGGCTTCAGGTCCTGAATCTTCACATCTAGGCGAGGCTGAAGCCATGAGTTCCCCACAGACACTTGTACTTCCAGCTCTGGATGAAGTTCCTGCGGAACATCCAGGTGAGATGCAAGCAGCAGCTGTCAAAAGAGAATCCAACCTGCCTGCCTCGGCCTCCCCACCACTCGCTTTCCTGCATGCAGTGGATCCAGGTGCTGTGGCACCTGCCTTCCCTCATTTGTGGCAGTTTTACCCTCTACTTTCACTGTCCTGCTTGCCTGACAGTATTCAGTTGTGCCATTATAACAGCAAAACCCTCTCTTGTCTCTGTGCCCACACGGGCTACCTCAGTTTCTTCCCCATTTCTCTGCTCTACTTAGAGTTCAGTTCCTTTTCTCCATTTGCTACTAAGTTCACTCTAGTCAGCATCAGCCCCAGCATGCCATTAAAACTGTGTCTAGCTGGGCGAGGTGACACACCCCTGTGATCCCAGCTGCTCAGGAGGCTGAGGCAGGAGGACTACAAGTTAAAGGCCAGCCTGGACAGCTTAGTAAGATCATGTCTTAGAATGAAAGGGCTGGATATGGGGCTGGGGATTTAGCTCAGCGGCATAAGCGCCTGCCTTGCAAGCAGGCAGTTGTTAGTTCGATCCCTGGTACCGATAAAAATGAAAAAGACCAAAAAAAAAGGGCTGGATGTGACTATAGTCCCCTGGGATCTATCCCTAATACCGAAAAAGAAAAGAAAAACTAACACAAAAACACCTAACAACCCATCAATCCTACTCACAGTTCTGCTCTGAACACTCGCAAGGCCTCTGTCTTCCTCAGTGAGCGCCGGCCATACTGTGGCCCACAAGCCTTGCTCTTTCCCTGTGCCCTCACCTGCCATCGCCTCCCTGCTTCTCTCTCCTGGCTGCTGTACTTAGCTATCTGGGGTTCAGTGGTGCTCCACACCTGCCCTGCCCTGCCTTGCCCTGCCCTGCCCTGCCCTGCCCTGCCCTGCCTTGCCCTGCCCCTGCTTCCACATGAGAGGAGGAAAAGCAAGCCCGGGCTCCGGGAGCCAGCCTTGCTCTCTCCTGGTC